AGTCACTCTCGCCTCTCTCTCCAGTTTCGCTGTGATAGCGGAACATTTCCACTTCTCTTTCCATGGACTCCACCTAGAATGATTTAAGTAGTTAGACACAACACACCGCTTGTCGCAGAAACCTTATAAAATATACACAGATAATTAATGCCCCGTTTAGCATAAATTAGGCCCCTAAAGGCGCAGTCCAATGGCGAGCGCGCAGGACGAGTAAAGAAAGTCAAGGAGTGAGGCAAGTTCATCAAGCCCAATGACCGCGGATCTTCATCCACTTCGAGAACATCGAGTGACAGCCCCGGCGGCTGGTAATTGGCTGCTCTGCGCTGCCACGTTTGCCGTTCCGAAAAAAGTTCCAAGTTTCCTGTGGGCGGTGGGGATTGGTCGGTGAGATCCAGAAAGTAAGGCGGTCCGTGGCTCCTGTTTCTTGTGTCGCGCGCGGCTGCACGGGCCAGAAAAGCACACGCACTTTAGCTTAAGTTCTAACACTTCATCTCATGTTCAATATCAATCAATGCTCAACCTGGTCATGGTCCCCCGTCCACCGACTGACTTTCGGTGGTTTGGTCCACTCGATTTCATGATAGACGGATGCATTCCTACACTGGAATCACGAATCACTCTACTTGGTCAGAAACTGACACATCATCTCTCCCTTCGATTTTGCAACTCGGAAGCATAAAGTTGAGGTCGAGGGATGAGTTAAGACTTCCCCCCAGATCTCACATGATCCCTACTTCGACGCACTCAAGGCGGGACCTGAAAATTCAGGAAGCCACCTGAAGCAACTGGGAAAAGCATCCCTGTTGGCACTAATGGACAAGTCGGAGATTTCTTCATTGGCTCGGCGGAACTTTGATACTCGTAACTCGGTCCATGACGACGATGAGAATCAGAATCAGAATTAATAATAACGACTAGCCAAAATGATAATCTAATAATAAACCCCCCGATCCAAAATCTCGGCAGACATGAACATCCGAAATCACAACATACTCTGTAGGAACAAAAATAAATAAGGAAAATAAAAAAAAGATCGCCTCCACAGTAACACCGAGAAACGAAGAAAAAAGGAATCCGTTTAAGATTACGATCATCGTTCATCGACACCTTTTTGCGAAACTGACTTGCATTCTGTACCCCAGACACGATAAGAGCAGTCTTAAGAACGGATCCCAATCTAGGGTCCCTCCGCAAGGGGCCAAACAAAAGAAAAGAAAATGAATCTGCATTCCGGTCTGATAGGTCTGCAAATATTGTTGCTTATCCTTCTGACCTATACTCTAACGGTCGACGGATGAAGACCGAAGCCATCGGGAGATCCTGCAATGATGAAGTCATACTGACTGCGATGGCCTTCGTTCCTTCACTGGTCCCTCGTCATACCGACAGGCTCATTATTGAAACGAGAGAGGGAAGATTCAAGGGATAGACGTGTAACATGAACGCCTCCTCAACTGGGAGTTGCTGACATCATTCTGGACGGCTTTCTTGCATGATGATTTGAGTCTCTGGCCCTTTCCTTTTCTCCACAACTATTGTTTGCCTCGTTGCGCCTCGCGTGGATGGAGGAGCGAGACTCGTGGTGGTGGTGGAATCGAGGGATGGGATACTCCATACCGACCCTATCACCGTCTCACATTCACGTCGGATCCTTGCATATAGACTCACACAATAACAAAGACCAACTCCCCCTTTCGTCAGCGACCATGGATCGGGATCGGGATCGTCTTTGCATCATCCATTGAGTCAGACAGCCTGATGTTTGCCACCACTAGAGAGGAGGTGTTGGCCTGGACAATGCAAATCCCTGCTCCACCCGGCAATCAGATAAGTGGCAACTTCGCCCGATGGACATGGGGAACGGTGGTATATTCCCATTGGATTGAGTAGACACAAGTATACTACGATGACATTATACTATATACAAGGAACGGTGAGTCGGAGCTCCACTCCAGGCAACGAACTAAGCCTTCGGCCGCAAAATGAACGGATGCTTCAGAGCCTCAGCCGGCGTGCACCGCTTTTCCGGGTTGAGACTCAAACAGCGATCCAGCAGATCCACAAACAGTGCCAGCTCCTTCGCCTCGCTGTCCGTCATTCCGCGAGTACCTTTGCCCATCAGCCTCGTTTTCAGATCCCGAGTGGGCTTTTTGAAGTCAACCACCCGCGTGACCAGACGCCCTGTGATCTTGTCTTCTTCGGTGCTGTGGAAATTCAACATGTCGTCAAAATGCATGTGTGTCAGCGATCCCTTTCGCAGAAGCTTGGGCGGGTATTTGCCCCGACATTCCATTATCGACCGTAGCATCTGATTGTTATTCCGCCCCGTAAACAAAATCTTGCCCGTGTACAACTCGAATAGCGTACAGCCAATGGACCATACGTCAATGGCCTGATCGTAGGGGATACCCAGGATGATCTCGGGGGCTCGGTAGAACCGACTCACAAGGTACGGTGTAATCTCGTTCTCCGTAGTCGAGGATGCAGAGCCCAAGTCACAAACCTTGAGAACGTTTCGCTGTTCGTTGACCAGCAGATTGTCGGGTTTCAAGTCCGCATGGAGGATATTACACTTCCGAAGCAAACTCAGCCCGAGGAAGATCTGCTGGGCGTACGCCCGAATGGCCATTAGATTCAACCCCACATCTCGTCCAAATTTCTTCAACACCTCACGTAAGTTCATGCTGAGATTCTCAAAAACCATGCAGAGATGTCCCTTGTGATCGAAATGGCGCTCGAATTTGATAATGTGCTTTTTATCGTCGGGATCGGCTTCATGAAGCTGTTCCAAGATGCCAATTTCCTTCATACCAGCCTTCCTCATGGTGTCGTTTTGTCGAATAATCTTGACTGCAACCAGCTTACCGGTTTTCGAGTCGGTCGCGCGTACGACCGATGAGAACATTCCCTTGCCGAGGTTCTGCTGTACATGATATCGCCCGTTGATCAACTCACCAAGACGCACATTGTAGTATCCTTCCGGATCATCCCAGTTGTCCATCATGCTGATATCCAGCTCCTGTGGCTGAGGCACGGCGGGCATGGCCGAAGCGTGCGCTGGCTGTGCTGTATCCTGTGATTCTTCGGCAAACATGTCATCATCATCCTCTGCAAACATGTCGTATGGATCCTTCGCCTTGGGCTGTTCTTGCTGCACTGGAACAGCATCGGGGATTAGAACATCTTGTTTGGTCGTTTTTGTCTCGTCGTATGACGCCGCAGAAACGTCCGCACTGGTATGCCTTTCCCTCTCAGCTTTCATGTCAAGGGTGGGATCATAGTCCGCTGCAGAAGGTTCATCTTTATCAGTTCCATCCACGGGAGCATCATCATTAAGCAAATCAGCATCGTTGCCGATCTTGAAGTCGGAGAAAGCCTCTCCAGTACTGTTGTTTGGTGTTTCGGAAGCTGACAGCTGCGAGTCTGCAAAAGAAATTTCGTGTTAGTTTAACAATGCTCTAGGGCACCTCGGTGGAACACAGGTGAAAAAGCCACATACCTGACGCTGCATTGTTTGGTGCAACTGGCTCGCTATCAGGTGTAGACGAGCCCCCATCGCCTGCGATATGGAGTGCCTGTAAACGTAAAGGCGTAGCCTGGCCTCTATACTTAGCTCTAATAGCTTCACGCCGTTTCCGACGAGCCTCCAATTGAGTTGCTTCGTCAACCGGCTCGGCCGGTTGAGGCTCTTCGTGGGTGTCTTGCGTCGTTGCGTTTGTGCTAACAACAATCAGTAAGAGATACTCTACACACACAGCAAACAGTGACAGCATACCTTTCTTCAGTAAGCGACATGGTATCTTCAGAACCTTGCTGCACCTGATTCGTTCGAGTTTCAGTATCACCTTTGGAATCTCGAGCGACGGGTGTTTGCCCTCGTTCGCTCACTAACTGTTCAGTAGACGACCTTCTTCTAGCATCTCTGGAAGCTACACTTTCCTCCCTAGGGGTTTCCCACTCGTCGCCCGAGTATTGCCTAGGTTTCCGGATTTCGCGGTACGGCGGTGTTCGGCTTCGAGTACGAGGGCGCTTATCCCGGCGTCGGTCATAGTCATCGCTATATCGAAGACCTCCGCCGTAATCCTCCTCTCGATCATAGTCGTGATAGGGTCTTGGCCGTCTATGGGAGGAACCGCGGTTATAGTACCGGTCATCGTACGGATATCCGCCGCGTCGTGAGAGGTCGTTCCGGAACCGTCGATCATCATAATCATCGTCAAGTCGACGCTTATGTCCTCTGTAACTTCGGTAGGGAGAGCGGGAACGGGAACGCGATCTCGTCCTCGATCTCCGGCGACGAGACGATCTGCTGCTTAGAGATGCTGGAGATCTGGGCGCCGGTGATGTACTGGCTCTGGTGGGACGGTCAACGCTGTTGCCATTAAGAGGAATTTGCGACGTAGTTGCCTTCGTCTCTGAACCTGATTCGATGATCTCACCCTCAGAAGGGGTCGATGGAGACCTCGACCGACGTGAAGCCATGATGCGACAGGTCCTCCACTTGACGTATACAAGAACAAGACCAGAGGTGATTTGTATGTAGTACGACTGGCCTTTAGAGCAGCTTTAAAGACAAGAAGAATGATCCTCGGTTAGCAAGAATGCTTCCGATGATGAAGTTTAGGGGGAGTGTATTGAGAAAGTCCAACCGGCTAGAGATGCCACGAGCCCTTGCCAACTTCGACTACCGTCCCGAATTGAACATGAGTCTTCTCCAGGAAGCGATTTTATGTGAGCGTGAAATGATGACCTGGACGCCAAAAGGAACAGATAGAAAAAAACCAAAGCCGAATGACACGATATCGGGATGATAGGTCGGGATGAGAGATGGCTCGACGCGGTACTTTCCCGGTCACTTTATCAAGAAGTTGATGAAGGCGGTGTCAAGGAGGAGATTTTGTGCCTAACCAAATCCAGTACTAGTGCCACCCCGCACATGGCGGTAACAAGATAAGCTGTGTTTCGCGCCATCAATTTTTTTCCCTTTCCCCCCTCCTTTTGTTTCCACTTTCGATCAGCCACGTTGTTTTTTCGCCCGTCGGTTACTCTTACACCTTACGACCTATATCATTAAATCAAAATGGGCGGTGCAAGCAGAGAAGGTATGTCACACATTTGCTATCATCATACAGGGCGTCTATTGACTTGGAACTCCCAGGTGGCAAGGTCAAGCCTTTGAAGGCTGCCAAGAAGGAAAAGAAGGAGCTCGATGACGATGATCTCGCATTCAAGGAAAGACAGAAGGCTGGTATGGATGTCGAATTCCATCGTCTACATTTCGCTTGTCCATACTGATCGTCTTCACTACAACCAGAGGCCAAGGCCAAGAAGGAATTGATGGACAAGGCCAAGGGTAAGGGCCCATTGAACACTGGTGCTCAGGGCATCAAGAAGTCGGGAAAGAAATAAATCTCTCTTGAGGACGGCCCTACGCTATTTTCACGATATACAACGAGCTACGAGCTACGAGCGCAAAGGTGGAGGGTTGCCATATAGGCCTCAACGCTATTTGCAGTATCTGAACAAACTCATATATTGTTATTGTCAATTTCAATATACCTCACCGAAGCCAAAACCAAACAGGGTCAATGCTGCCCACTTGGTCGACTCGGCACAGGCTCGTTGATTAACAGAACCGACCAAACTATGAGGTTCCATTTACAACCCAACTCGTGGCCTTGGTGTTCTTTGAATACCGCATAGTAACTGCTGATCATGCGCCGTTTGTATTATTAGACTAATGTTCAAGATGCGAATTGGCTTTTTTTTTTTTTGTAAAACGCTCATTTAGGGTATATGCAACGCTAGGGGTATGGCTTCGCCGATAGATCTTGAATAACAGGAAAAGACAACTCAGCGCAGAGAGGGAGAGAAACGAAGGAAGAGAGATGCCAAAAAATTAAAAAGTACCTAGGAGAGAAGTATGTTGATGAGAATAAGGGAAAATAAAAGGAGAAGGGAAAGAATGTAGAAGACCCAGAGAACCGCCCTTCAGCTAGTCACTCGTTTAACCCATAAACCGCTGCTGCCACCATTGCATTCCTGTTCGTCACGCTTCCTCCATGCTCGGAATAGTTTCATGCCAATCTCGTGTTCTTCTTTAATGATATCAGCCAGCTCGTTGTTCAAGCTGGCGACCGTTTTCTTGACCTCGTCCCTTGCAGCCAGATCGTAAGCAATGGGGCTGGGCTGGATGACTTGCGTCAACTCGTAAATCATAGTATTGATGCTTGCTTTGCGGCGTGCAAGGTAGTCTCTCCTTGCTTCCAACATTTCGATGCGATTTTGGGTTTGTTGCGCTGGGGTACAAGGCAGAAGTTCGTTCGTTTCTTGAGACGGGGTGGGCTTGCGCGATGGCTTCTTCCCTGGAGCTACCGAGCTGGGAACGGGACGTTTTCTGGACATTATGGAAGGTTGATACTCGGTAGACTGGGAAGCAGCGTCGATACTCCCTCGTGGACTGCCTGTCGCGGTTGAACTGCCTGCTTCTGTGGGCTCGTAGGTAGTTACACTGAAACGGCTCGATGGTAGACCGAAGTCATCTTCGTTGGTGAGTTTTAAGCCAGCAAGGGTACTGGTGAGATCAGGCTCCGGTAGATTGACGCGTGGCGGAGCACGGCTGCTTGCGCTAGTCGCAGGAGGGGTCGGCTCCTCAAACACTGTTCGGTGGATATTCTTGCTTGGCGCATGCATCTCCGGAACATTCGTGTTTGCTTCACCACTCGAGATAGTCGTGACGATGGAAGGAAAACCCCCAAGGTATGCGCCACTGGGTGATGGGCTCTCTCGACCTCTTAACTTAGAGGAACTCCTCGACAAGTGCACACGAGATGATGATCTGGCTCTTGGCTTTTCCTGCAAGGGTTCCACGATCGGAGATCTTCCACTAGCACCCTTCCAAGGCACTCGCATATTGGGTGGGAGGAAGAGGTCACTTTCTTTTGGTCGGCTACGGGCTCCTGAAAGCTTTCTTTTCTGCTCCCTGCCCCAGTTGAGAACGTCCGAACTACGAGACTCTATAGGTCTAGCGTCCGAGGATATGTGAGTTTCGAACGTGCATCCGGGAGCCGCATGCGCAAATGTATCTATGTTATTCTGTTCACGGGAGAAAGTGTCCCATGCGGTAGCAGGTCGCGCGAAAGACGGAGTGGGATCTTCTTGATTATCTGCGTGCTTGCGCAAAACAGGTATGTGGCTGGTGAATGTCTTCTCCGTCTGTCCGCCCCCGAAGTACTGCTCGAATTCTTCCTCTAGGGATGAGACTCGAGAGCTGCCTAGACTAGCAGGTCCATGGCCAAGGAAAACCGGCGAGTCAGGAGGTGAGATTGAACGGCTGTCCGTTCGACCGGGAATGTCCGAGTCCTGAGGGAGAAAATGCGTTAAACTGATCGAGGGTTTACGTCGGCTGTCCGCCATGGTATCTTGCGAATATGGGCCTGCCATCCCAACCGTGTCCGGCCGGCGCGGATGAGAAGAGTTCCTAAAACGGGTTAGAGAGCGTAGAGTTGTGCTATTTCCTAGCTGGCACATACTTTGGCGGGGTTGGCAAGGTTTTTGCATGATATTTGTTGTTTTCTTTCTGCACACCAGAAACAAGAGGAAAGGACTGGTATTCATTATCATCCCAGGTCTTGCCGACCAAAGTAGGAGTTCCAATTACCGGCTTCTTCGACCGATGGAAATTCGATGAAACCTTCAACCACATTTTGATCTGAGACACCGCGAGCGATCTTGCTGCCGCTAGGGATCGCGATGATCAGTGGATACAGCTATGATGATGCAAGGGCGCAGTGACATACCTCAAATGCCTCCACTTATCCAAGGAGGATAGAAAAGGAAGAGTAGGGGGTTAGAAGAAAAAAGTCCAAAATGTCGAAAGTAGGACGTTGAACGTTAAAGGAGGATGAAGAAAATGATCCCTGTCACGAACAGGCTGGTCTGATTTTCAATGTGGATTACTGCAGAGACATGCCAGCATGTCATTCAACACTGAGAAGAGGAAAAGTCGGCCAATCCTTGTTCGGTATGCACTCCAACAAAGGGAAGGTTTGGCTGACAGGCACTCAAATGCAACACGGATAAAAAACCGCCCAGTAAGTAAAAGAGGGGATTTAAAAAGAGAGAAAAGAAACTCCGACACAGAGAGAAAGAATGGAAGCAAAGAAAATCCAAGAAATTACACAGTGCTCAACACGAGTGAAGGAACGAAGGAACGAATGAACAATTGCAGAAAGAATGAATAATAATGACTATCAGGCTCGCCTGATTGAGGGGACAAGCAAGAGAAAATGAAAGTCATGGCTTCGGAACAAGCACATGCCCTGAAAGGGTCCTGTTTCAGCGATTTGCAGGATTTCTGGTTGACTAACAGTTCGTGGTTAGTCTCCCGTTAGTTGGGTTCATCAGGTACTATCATTAGTAGTCAAGGTTAGCTCCATGACTCCATAACGATTATGATGATCTTCACCCAGACCATTGAAAGCCCCCCAAGTCGTCCGAGGTGTGGATTTCCTCGGTCCTGAACACTAAAAATAACAGGGATATAAATTAAAAGGAGGAGAAATCCCGTCTTCTCGGGTGTCTGTGCAACGGGACTCGAAAAAGATTTGGCATCTACAACAAGCCTGTGGAGTTGGATTAAAGATCCGTGAATAACCCTGGGTAAACCATGGATGAGTCGATGGCCTGAGCCCTCAGGCTGCAGTTGGGACTGCAGCTGCGAATGGTTCACGTGCGGTAAGTAATACCGCTGTCAGCATCGGCTTATATCTCCACCTTGGGCTGGGCACAGAGCTCCGTGAATTTTACATACGGTACCGTAAGTTCAAGTAATACCCAACGCTCTCTTCCGTCATCTCCAACTTGACCAACTTGACCCTCCGTCAGCTTCATCCTCCACATCAACTCCTCCTTCTTTCAACTAAAACCACCGATCTTCCTCACAAACAACTATAACCATGTCGTCTCCACGTATGTGTCTTTCGATATCATCCGTCAAACACATCAATCTATAATCCATACTAACACGATCTCCAGAGGACGGAGCAGTCCCGCCGCCCGCCGAAGTGTCAGTATCCCAACGCCAACGCAAAGAACGAGTCCGGTCCTCCACACGATCAGAAACTAACCCATATTCTCTTTAGTATGTCAATCGCATCGCCAATCAACCTGCTCCTCCTATCCCTCTTCGCTGTTCTGGTGTACATGCAATTCCGACCAAAAGCGCCCGTAGCTCTTCCCAAGGGTCCTGCGCCCATCGTCTTCCGCACGTTCACCCCCGCCACTCTGCTCGAATTCAACGGTGTTGATGGAAAGCCCGTCTATCTAGCCGTCCGCGGCCGCGTCTTCGATGTATCCCCTGGCAGGAACTTCTACGGACCGGTATGCATTACTTTGTGCCCATTGGGGTGACGAGAAGGATCATAGACAAAACTAACTCATTCTGGTATAGGGTGGCCCCTACGAGAACTTCGCTGGTCGAGACGCATCCCGTGGATTGGCCTGCCAGAGCTTCGATGAGGAGATGCTTACTAAGGACCTGAAGGCTCCGTTGGATGACCTCAAGGGTCTTGATGCGGATGCGATGGAAAACCTTCAGTCCTGGGAGGAGCGCTTTTTGGAAAAGTACTTGGTTGTGGGTAAATTGGTTGCTGAAGGCGATCCGGAGGCCCCGAAGGCATAATTGCCTTGTGATCACCCACCAGGGATAGTATCGAGTATTGATGATGGAATGCAGGGTTGAGGCTTCTACGGGGTCGAAAGTACCTTGATAGAAAATGTAGCATTTGGTATTTTCAAAAAGCGATGTGAGTGGTTTCTTTGTTTGTTTCGCATGAGACATGATTCGATTGACGCTCGAATGTGAGCCGCATATATTGGGAATTTCTAAGTCATAAAAAATGCCATCGTATTATAAGTACTAATGTTAAATCTGCTACCACCACAATTCATAGCACCCAGAGGCGTAGTAGGTAGTGATATTGTCAATACAACATTTTGCAGTTGAGCAGCACGGTCACTGTAATTACCACTCCATTTTCAAAATAAATCAAGAGAGAACGACAAAGAATCAAAAGGTACTGTTACAAGTCATCAAATCGTGGCCGAGATTGAGAACTCCTTGGATTTTCACAAGTTCACAGCTCCGCTCGCAATTCTTCCGCAGACTCCGCAGCCTTCTCCTGCGCCTTCTCAGCAGCCCGCTGACCCTGAGCCCGGCCACTGGCCGCTCCAATCTTTAACTGTTCCAGAAGCCAGTTGGTAGCATCCTGGATCTTGGCATAGATTGTTCCTTGCGGAGTGGTAGTGCCGTATCTGAAGTACTCGGCATTACGACGTACTGCAGCGCGTAGTTCATTGGGACTAGAGCCTTGATAGACCGGAATACCGTAGGAGTCGAGGTAAGCCTTAAGCTCAGAGTGAGACCAGGTGTCGAAGGTGGAAGACTTGACAGCGTCAGTAGCCTGCGCCATGTATGACGTAGCTGATGCCAGATTTGCTCCTCCAGCCTTGGAGGCTTTAGCGTAAGTATCTTGAGCTTGTTTCACAAGCTCATCCCGAGTCAGATCTGCACGGTGGGCTGCCTTGGCGTTCATGGACGACAAGTATTTCCTTCACTTGAGGTCAGAAAAAGGGTCCATAATTGGTCATTTGAAAGGTTGACTTACTTCAAGTGCTCAGTATCCCAGGTGTCGAAAGTCCAAGCGGTCCATCCAGTCGCTGCTTTGTGCTTGTGCAGTCTAACCTTTGCAAGAAGCTCGTCACGCTTGTTACTCTGCGGAACGGGGACGCCTCGTGCATCCAAAAAGGCCTTGAGGCGGGAATCGGACCAGGCCGTGACAGCAGCATCAAAGGCTTCCTCCCCCTTAAGCTGTGCGGCATCGGTTGCTTGGGCGTACTCGTTGCCAGCCTTAGTAGTAGCAGCGCCATACAGTTCTGATGCCGTCGAGGTAGCACTCTGGGATGCAGTAGAAGCTGCAGAAGAGGCCTGACTAACCAGGGAGGCGCGGTGCTTTCTGGCTAGTGCAATCAGCTCGTTCCGCTTAGAGCCTTGTGGCACCTTGACATTATGTTCGTCGAGGAACTTCTTCAAGTCCGAGTCAGACCACGCATTGAATAGCGCTTCACTCAGAGTAGCCTGAGCGGCAGCTGCGGATTTAGAAGCAGAAGCAGCGAGGTTTCGTGCTTGTAGACTGGCTAGTCGAGCGTTGCGACGCACCGTTGCGATTAGCTTGTCACGGGTCGAAGGCTGAGGCACCGGCCAGCCACGCTCATCAAGCCACTCCTTCAGATCGGACTCAGTCCACTGCTCGTAGACCCAGTTGCCAGGATAAGAAGCAGCCTCCCCGAGTCTTTTGGCAATTGCTTCGTAGTTTTCACGGGCCGTCTTGAGCAGCACATCGCGCTTGCGCGGCTGAGGAGCAGGGATACCATGCCGATCAAGGAAAGCTTTCAGATGGGAATCAGACCAGCTATTTGCATTTTCTTAGTGACGTGCATAGTAATGAGCACCTCTGTTCTTGACTTACGATTCAAAGATCCAGTCCTTGGCATGATGCCACTGATCAGTAGCCTGGTCCGCTGCTTGTCCCAAGGGCTTTTGAACTTTCGAGTTCCAGTTTACCTTCACAGCGTTTTCGAGGTCTTTGCGGTCGGCAGGGGAAGGATACGGGATGTCTATGCCTCATATTAGTTTCTTGTGGTGTATTAAGACATTTCCATTAGGCGGGTCGTACCATGGTCGTTGAGCCATCGCTCCAGTTCGGTCTCATGCCATTTGTCGTACACTACAGTGGTCCTTTTGTCAGCATATCCTTTGGTCTTCAGGAAGCATATAGATGGTTGTATACCAGCTTTGCTGAACCACGAATGTGCCCCAACCGCCTCCACGGTTGCGAGGGCCAGCACCAGACCCGAAGCCAAATTTAGCTTCATAGTCACTAGTTCCTAATGTTTGGCGTGTCTTCTAGCTGAATGATCTGGAGTCACTATCAGCAGTCAGTATCGCTCAGAGGAATTTGGGCTGTGAAATGAAGGACGTCAATCGAGGACAACTTACACGAGTCCTTGCAAGGGAGATGGAATTGGAAACAAAAGAATATGTGAACAAGTGTAGTATTTATTTATTAGGAAGGATGAGAGGACCAGAGGAGAGATGATTGCCGAGTGACGTAGTTGTTTGCATGGTTACTGGCGTCATCGACTGGGCCAACCTTGGTCGCGCCTCTTCTCGACAATTCGAGGTGACCATTTGCTCAGCTGTTGCGGATCTGCCATGATTTTCACTGGCCGATCAAACGTCCAAGTGCAGTGAATGTAGTTCAAATCTTGTAACAGTTCATAGTTCGATTGTACCCTCTTGATGGTGGAAACTCCCAACAGATAAGAACGCCGGTCTAACCATTTATAGTCTAGCCCAGGTGTTGCCTCTTTGGGCCATGCGGAGAACCTCGACTTTGAAGTGTTAAGGCGAGTACTGTGTATTTACCTCTCCGTACCGTACCGAACAAACAGTGCATACAGCACTTTATCGCTTATCGGGAGTTCGTAGACCGAGTGACAAGTCATCTCTCTCTCTCGCTCACTCCCCCCCCAACGCATCCACTTGACATCGTATTAGCTACAAATAACCTAAATTAAGGACGCAGCTTCGGGCATCCTTACGTGAGATGGCTCTTCTTTAGCCCCAACGGTTGCAACTCGCTGGCAAATTGCAGAGGAACTCACCATAGCTATCCTCTATCACAGGGCTTCGCCTCGGATGCTCTTGGTCAGCTGTTTATCACTGTCTTAATAATCCCAAATCGATCAGTTGCTCCTTAATCAATCAACCGCCATTATTAAATACCCGATAGAGTATTATTAGACACGACGTGTTCATCCTGTGCTTTACAAAACGCCAGAATGGATCTCCTGTCCAGCGCCCAATGCAAGCATCTGGTTTCTCCAGACTATATAAACTTCATCCTATCAATGTACAGTTTCCTCGTCTAACACCATCGGAAGTCTCCTTAAGGCATATACTAAACCGAACAGCTTGATCTTATTCGGTATACTGTTATCCTACCTTCCTCAGCATTACCGAATCATCTCCCTAAAGAGCTCCTACGGCATCTCACCGTATTTTGTCCTATTGGGAACAGTCTCTGGTTCGTCATCTTTAGCAAACGTGCTATCCCAACAACAAAGTCTGCAGGATGTTTCCTGTTGTAGTGAAGTCAACGGCCTGGCTTGTTTCGCAGGATTACTAGGCATCCTCCAGATTGGAACACAGTGCCTTTGCTTCTTTGTCATGTAAGCGACTTATCCATGTGGCAATTAACCTATATCCATATCACTAACAAGCGACTGCCTTCTAACTACTCTCCAGCCTATTCTTATACATCCTCTATTTCCCTCGAGATGTACAGTCGTCATCGCCAACCTCCAAGCCAAGACCGCAAGGCCCGACCTACCGGACCGCCTTAATCGTAGGCGCCATCTGTATTCTACACATCTCCGTAATGCTTATTGCCACTATCACCATTGGACTCAAACGGCCCGCCTCTCTGCAGTCCTGGTCCAACTTCTGCGGTATCTTAGCCGCGATCCTTTCCTCGATTCAATACTTCCCTCAGATCTACACCACTGTCAAACTGCGCTGTGTCGGTAGTCTGAGCATCCCCATGATGTGTATACAGACACCGGGTGGCTTTGTTTGGGCTGCGAGTCTTGCGGCTAGATTAGGCCCAAAGGGATGGAGTACATGGGGTGTTTTGCTTATCACTGCGACTTTACAGGGTCTGCTACTCGTACTGAGCGTTTTCTTCGAGTATTTGGGGCCGAACAAGGGACACAGTCACGGGGAGGACAGCCCAGTGGTGAATGATGTGCGCGATGAGCAAGAGTCGCGTCCCTCCGAAGAGACCCCCCTTCTTCAGAGCCAATGATCGGCTCCAGTATGAGAGTGATTGGACAACTTTCATACGATTGCTGCCCGTGTTTCGATTTTTCGGATATTGACCTTTTGGATATTCATTTTTCAGACGAGGAATGTAAGTATATATGCGGCTTGGAGCCTCGGGTACGATGCGGTAGACCTTTCCTTTGCTTGGAATTGAGGCAACTCGTCCACTGTACTGTTGGCATGGCAACAGGAAGACAACAAGACAGGACGCAGGGCAAAAGCCCCGGTAGACGATGTGATATAGTTTCAAGTCTAACTAGTGTATAACAGGAGAGTAACGTCCAATACCCACACTACTACCCCGCAACTAGGAAGTCGAAGCAAGTCATTCTCGCAGTAGAAGAAGTAGCAGCAGAGCTGTTATCCCCTCATAATCATAATATTCATAAGCTGGATCCCCGCCCAGAGCCTAACCTACAACATCGGCCTCCGAGATTCCGCACTTAACCGAAAACCAGACGGAAGATGTCGTTGAAAACGTAGTAGCTTCCAGCTCCGTCAGGCGAAAGCTGGAAAGTCTGGGAGAATTTCATGGGGGTCTGCTCCTCATCGACCTAAAAGTAGAAAGAAGCGGGATAGTTTAGCAAATAATCCAACCTCAACCGTCCATGGATGGGAGAGAAAAAAAAAACAAAAACCTACAAGTAGAACACCAGTCACCATGACAAGGATACCGCCATTCTCATTTGAAGGCTGGGAGTCAAGGGTGCTGACCTGGTGAGAGACCTTCTGGAAGGCAAGAGTCTGCAAGGAGCGATTCCAGTTAGCAGTGCTATTGACTACCCGCTCTGGTGTGACTCACAGTCAACTTCTCAATGATTCTAGGAGCGCCCAGAATGGAGTCATTCTCGAAAGTGAGCATAGAATTATCACGCTGTTATCCCCACAAGAAAAAAAGAAAGATTAGTTTTTCCCTGCTCTTGCGTTCAAGCCCTGCGCATAGCGGAAGACATACGTAGAGACCAGCCAAGTTCTGGCGCTGGTTATCGAAGGTGTTGTAGTAGAACTCAACGAACTGCTCTATTGGTTGCAATTGTTGTTAGAAATAGTCATTGCGATTTGTCTCGTCCCGTAGTCCGTGTTGATGGGTGGGGAGTCATGATCGTCGTTCAGCGCGTCTTTATCTGAGACGACGAGGGAACGTGAAGAAATATCACTCACTAGCGACGGTCTGGAAGTCTAGACGGTTGAGGATTCATGTGTTAGCTTTAACTATCTTCCCATGTGCGTTGAATGCCTGCGCTCCTCATCTTGGAGGGGTCATGAATTAAGGAGGGGCATTAGAAAGCAACCAGCAAAAGTAGGCTGATAGATTCGTCGTGAGAGGGATAACTATAGCACAAGCATGACTTACCGGCCATTTTGACGGATTGGGGGGATGCGATAAGACTGAGTATTAGAATTAAAGGGTATAACGCTGGAGTCGGGGACAGAGAGAGGGGAGGAAAAGCCGGGCTGATATCAACATCGAAAGTATTTCAGGCATTGTGGGGCTCTGGAATACAGTTTGGGCCCAATCATCGTCGCTGCCTCAGGCAGGGCGCCCATGGCAACCAATGACGCCTCCGTGGTTGATTGCGACTTCCATGGATGCGGGATTTGTTGCGCATATCCATTACTTTTAGTACTTACTACCTAGTATCGCGTCGAAGAAAATGGAATCCTCATATCTCTAGCGTTCAACACGGTGGACTAGAAGTGGTATCAAACCAAGTAGTTACTCCTACCTAATACTACATAGTGAAGATCGTATTCATAACAGGACATATCACTCCGAATCGGAATCCGCAAACATATCTTCCGCCTTTGGTCGAGGTTTGCGAACTGGCCGCTGGGGCTCCGGTTGAGCTGAGGGCTCTGGCTGCCTCTCTGGTTGCTCTTTCGAGCGACTTTCTTCCACAAGCGCGCTGTCTTCCTCCATAGGTTCGCCTTCCGGGACTTCCAGATCGCTGTCCTCCATTGGCTCTCCGTCAAGATCGCTCATCGGCTCTCCATCGAATTCTCCTCCGGGAGCAGTATGTTCTTGATCAATATCCATACGACTAATCTTAGCTTCAGGAGGCCGACCTGGGTCAAATTTCTGTGTCGTTGTGTCTTCTTCCACAGACTTCCAGCGATTTTTACTCCTGGAGAATGCATTGGCGGCTCGTTCGGCTTCGGCCTTCTCCTTTTCTTCTCGTATTTCTTCTTCCGTGAGCGGCGGTTTCTCGAAAACCCCATAAAATTGTTCCTGGCTCGATTGCGGGAAGACACACCAGCCTTCCCACAGATGCAACAGAGTTCCAACACTTCGCTTCCATTTCTCCGCTTTTAGGCGACCCCAATTGTAGTCTTTCTCCAATCTTCCAAGATGCTCGAAGATTTGATGCGCTTTTAACGATGACTCGAACAATTGCCGATACCGCCAAGCATGTCGCACGCCGCTGGTGGCAGAAGAGGAGAGGATGTCGGAGATAAGATAGAGGCCCACCAACTTCGCGGAAGACGTATCTAAATTGCCCTTAGAATGAGAGTGAGCTTCCTCTGCATCGTTGGCGACATCTGCAGCCTGTTCTCGCCGAGCCGCACCCTTTTCCATTTCGCGGTCAGGATTAGCCCCTGTATAAGCAAATGGTTCCTTTATATTTGAGACAATCATCTCCACAACCTCTTCTGCACCTGCCCCTGCATGTTCAATAGCAAAAGCAGTAACACGCGCGACGTCGCCTTTCCGTAGCTTCGCATGTGTCGTCGGGAGACGAGCGAGGAGGTGAGTTAATTTGGCCTTCTGGAGTGGATTCATATAGCCTAGCCCATCATTACTGGCACCCACACCATCAGCGGGAGGTGCTCCACTATGTTGACGTCTCTCATCTTCCACATCAGAGAGGTCCTCATCAGAAGAGTCGTAATCCTCGTCAGAGACAAACTCATCCATCTGAGTGGTGTATTCAAACTTGATATTGCCTTCCGGGGGGGCCCAGTGAGCGCCACCTTCGAAGATCAATAATGAATTCCTAGGTTTTCCTCGTTGGTTCCCCCTCGAACAGCTGTTGGTAAGGACTTCCCATAGCTTCCATCGGTAAAATACCCCACCGGCACTTCTTGCATCCCATATCCATGCCCA